GGGTGGAGAGGATCACTGCAGACCCCTCACACCCGGGACACAATCTGTTTGAACTCCTCCCCTCTGGACGGCGTTACAGGTCACTGTGCGCCACGACAACCAGGCACAAGGACAGTTTCTTCCCCCAGGCCATCACTCTGATTGACACTTAACCCATGACAGTATGACTGGATAATAACCCTCAGTGCAATACCTGTAAATATACCCTGTACAGATTATACAGATTCGTACAGGTCTCTAGTTTTATTTTTAAGTACTCCATTTTTAGTCTCATTTTATCTGGTCTCCCAATGAACATTCTTTTGTTGACTGCATTGTTTACTGTCGGTTCATACTATTTATTTTGTTATACTACACAGCCTTATGTTGGTTTACTGTTTACTTGCCCCTTGCTGTTGCCTTGTATGTAGATATGTACATGCACATTGAGAGCCGCTGTACCAGAGTCAAATTCCTCGTGTCCAGCACACCTGGCCAATAAAGCTGATTTTGATTCTGAAGACATTCCTTATCATACTGGAATATTGCACATGTAATGCCTTTTTTAAATGATGATCTGGACAGTAATGGATTATAATTAATAAATGAGATGACTCCATGAGCCTTGTCTTAAGGAAGAGCAGCGTGTCATGACTTCTGTTCACGTTCATCACCAAACGTTCACATTAGCAGTTTATAAGCTGTTTGTCGTTTGTTGTCTTCACTAAAAGTTAACTTACCGGCTGTACTGCAGGTTAACATTCATTAGTGTTGTGATACTGATTCAGATCTGTTGGTTTTGTTTAGGGTGTTCCTGGTAGCCCTGGCTCACCCGGCAGAGACGGTCCCCCAGGAGCAAGGGTAAGAGCATCGCCTTTACTTACTGGTTATTGTTGCAGTGTCTGTCGGTGGTTTTTGGGAATATGTAGTGTTGTAATTTTATGATGCATAGATCTTCTCCTCTGCCATATATTGGAAATAATGTGTCAATATAGAGATGTAGACTAAGTTTATTTTTTCTCTTTCTCTCTTGAGGTTGTTTTGATATAAATGGAAAACGTGGCATTGTGGACAAGTATGTAGCACATATAACAAGATGGGGGGGGGAACTGTCCTCTGGAAAAGTCCACCAAATGTCATGAAAGTGTTTATTAAAAACACACACACAAAAAGTTTTTAAAAAATTCTTGGTATTTGTTCATATACGTTATATTTGCAAGTTGTTGCTACTCCACCACCTCAGTGGACTTTCAGCAGCTATAATCAGCAATTTGTGTAGCAGTTCTAACATTAAGGTAATAAATACATTTGGCAAACATGATAGATAAATGATTGTCAAAAAAGTAAAATAAAATGTTTTAAAGACTGGAAACCACTTAGAGTATCTTGTTCCTTACTTTAGGTGATCATTTAAATGTGCTTTAAGATACACACTCTATTTTGTAAGTCTCTTGGGAAAGTATCTATTGTACTGTGGTATTTTTCCAGCTGTTTGTTAGTTCGTTTTATGTTCCTTCAGTCTTTGTGCAGTTGTAGAAAACAGTACATACTGCCCATTGGTGATAGATGAGAAAGACTGTGTTGTATTAGCTGGCTGACAGAGGAACCAGGCCTTACAATACCCAGCTGGGCTGTAAATACCAAAACAGAATCCAGTCATAGTGTCAAGTGTCTGCAAGGAGAAAGATGTAATATAAGAGAGGAGTTTAGTCTTGGCCTGGCTCTTGGTGAAATGCGCTAGACATAATCCATCTGCTGCTGCTCATGTTGGCTGACAGGGGTCCAGACACCGTCCCCTCTGTGGTGGTTTTAAGGAGAAGTCGTACAGTTTTCAGACTTGTTTTGTGCTTTCCTTCAGGACACGTATGCTGGCTGGAGTGTCCTCTCACCATTCCAGTTAGCTTTAGAGTTCATGAACAGAAAAAGCATTATGTCTTTTCCTCTGCTTCCCACTGGGACTTTTTAAACCATCTCATTTGTTGCTTCGAAGCAGCAGTGTGCTTTTGTCTTTACCCATCACACATGAACCTTTATATTTTTGAATATCTGTTATCAGACATTTTTTAGGGAGCAAAGCAGACTGATTGGCAAGTAAATGTATTGGCAAGTATATAGCCTGATAATGTGTGATTTAAACTGAATTTCAGCCAAAGCAACCAAAAGGCTTTTCCTTATACTTTTAACTCTATCCCGCTCCCAGAGTTGTACCATAACAGTGGGAGTGAGATGGAGACCCAGTCAGATCTATGAGCAGCAGACAGGGACACATGCTCGTACAGTACAGAGGACTTAAAAGTGGCTGTTCAGTAACTCAGCAGAGGTTCTCAGCTCTCTGGGGGAAAGCAGACCTGTACAGTTTAGCTTTCTTTCTACAGTGTTTTTGACTCGAGACTTGTAGTAACTTCATCACTGATGCTGAATTTGATCTGAGTACCTAATGTACCGTCAGGTTTTCCTTGCTGAAGGGCACAAGATGTAAAAACTACTGTCTTTTACAAAGTAATATATTGCTATGAAACGGTGTGCATCTCATTGGACAGTCAACCAGTTTGCACAATGCAGTGGCCATCATGTCTTAATGCTCAAGCCATTAGACACAATTGTCTTTAATGTGAATGTAGAATTGCCTTATCTTCTCCTAAAGGCTACTGCAAGAGCATTTAAATTGTGCATGGGAAGACTTCCAGCCATTCATCATTTTGTTTTTTAGACCTGTGCTTTTCCAGCTGTGGCATGTGTTCTGTGTAAAACCAGCCTGCTGGTTAGTTCTTCTGACCAGCTTCTTACAGTGTCTTGCATTTGCGACTCTTATTTAACGGTTAAAGGTGAAAACACTTAACAGCTCAATGTTTTTATATAGAAATTTATTAATGCAGCTCTTCAGTTTTTTAAAATTACCAGCCTGCAGTGTATCACACCCGTATTCGCAGAATGTAGTGCATGTTTACTAATGTAATTATTGAGTGTAATCATGTGAAATTACTAATAAGTAAGCAATTTTAGCTGCTATCATCTGGGAACAACTTCCCCTCTGCAACATTGATTTATGACAGGCCTACTACATTGATATTTCATCAATACGTTATCAGTCTGTTGTGTATTTCTAATACTTGTAATTATTAGAAAGACACTTTCACAGTGTGTATGTTTGTAGAATCACAAACAGCCAATTATAATTTCCAGGTTTTAGTATTTCCATACAAAACATTAAACATTTCAAAGCAATGCTTTAATTGCTGCAGAATAAACGGCACCGGGCAGCGCCACACTCTGATGCTTCTAGCAGCGCGCCCAGGCTGTATGTTGTAGCAGATGCATTGAAAGCGGTAGTGAATACTGATAAGAGTCAATTCACCAGGGGGTGAACTGACAGCGGTTTATGACACCATTTATTTGACAATGATATAAAAAGTGGAATATTGCCAGTTGAACAGTAATTATGACTAGAAAGCAGCTTTTGAAAACCCCAGCTGCTTATACTGGCTAGTAGGTTTGCCACTTAATGGGGATTTGTCCCAGCTACTAGTCTGTATCATCTGATTTGTATAAAGGAGAACAGGGAAACAGATGGCCCTTTGGTTCACAGTGAAACCTATCAGCGCTGCACTAGTCCACTGGGCATACACACTGTACAAAACCTTTAGTGAGGCCTATACAAGCCAACCATGCCTGGACAGTTACTGTTCTCTGGGGACCTGCTTTGTCCATAACACAGTGAAGATGGATCAAGGAAAGCCACAGATCTTTACAGAACCTGTACTCAAACCTTATTGGATTCAAGTTTTCACCAAGATTCAGACTCATTAAACACTTTGACTCACAGTTTTATTATTCACATACAGCTGACTTGTAAATGATGTAACATGGAGAGAAGGTACGGTCCTCATCAGAACTGGAGCTGATCATCCAAGCTTCCCTCAAAGCTCTTTGCAAATAAGGTTTGATACAGAAGGGAGAGTTAGGTTAACATTGTCTGCAGTCCATTTCTTGGACTATGATTCAGAAAAACCTTGCTTCTTGGCTTCTAAAATATCACAGCAGTGATGCATCTTCATGAGCCAGGCTACTGTGAGAGAAGGCAGGAGGCTGAAATTCTTATAGGAACCGCAAGGGGGAAAAAAATCTGGATTATAGAGTCGGCATTGATGGTGTGTGTGTGTCATTTTAACATTGCATTGTGCTCCAGCACTGCACTTTTAGTACGATTTAATACTGCACCATCAAATAATTCACAGTGGGAAGTTTTATAAATGTTTTGCTCTTAATATAGGGATTCCTCTTGTTCCAGGGGTGTTTCTGCTCAGATTGAAAGGATTTTTTAAAAAGTGTGTCCCATTAGTGGGTTGAGCAGCATGAGTGTTTACTGTGTGACACCAGTGAGAGTCACTCTGGTTCCGAGTGACCAGAGGCTAAGGCTCTTGGAGTGCAGACGATGTTGTGCAGTCAGCACTTGGTGTTGGTATACTCCAGCAACAAAACACAGTCCAGACAATGGGAACATCCAGTATAGGTGCTAAAAAATTGTCAAATTTTCACTGACTATATTTGAGGAGATGGTCATAGTAAAAACCTGCGGGTGCAGGTAGAACAGAACTGGCACAGGATGGCAAAAAGATGCAACAACACACTGAATATGAATGGCACTACACCCTGTGAGCTGAGGAGAGAATAGGAAATGGGTGAACAGGTGGACATTGGAGTCGGGGTGGGGAAGTCTGCGGGTATGTGGTGGATGAGTGGAGAAGAGCAGGTCTGAAAAATTTTACTTGTGCTTTTTAACTTGTATGTATTTTGTTTTTATTGCTGTGCACATCGGGGGCCATTGGGCTGGAGTCAAATTCCTTGTATTTTTTGATAATACTTGGCAGTAAAGTTTATGCTTATGCTTCATTCCATTTGTATTCAGGGGCCTGAGAAAGTGAGAATGTGGCTGAGGGGACAAAAGTGCAGACTGGACGGAATTAATAGGACCAGGGCAGGAGTTATAACATATGTAGCACATTGTATAAAGATGTTATATTCTTTAGTTTCAAGTCATTATATTGCTTTTGCCTCACACAGGTTAAATCGAGAACTGTATAAGGAGTATGCACATTGAAAGTGCATCAGCCTCAACGTGCAGCCACAAAGTTCAACTAACATCCAAGTCCAAATGAAAGGATTAGCTGAACCTTGGGTTAAGCTGTTTTCCAGGATGGTCTGATGCTGAGTTGAACTGCCAAACTGTATTAATAGCACCAATTCTGTTCAGTTTGAATAGCCCAGTACATCAAAGCCATCATCATGTTATTTAGACAGGCCTACAGAAGCGTCACAGGTATGAATGCGCTTTCGAAGCAACGGTTGCAATTTCATAATTTTCGTTTGCTCTTTTAAAACCACGGCATCACAGAGAAGACATTAAAGGGCAGGGGTGGTTTTACCCACCTTGGGGCAACTAAAATACATATTCTGTAAAACCCCACCAGGTTATAGTTAAAAGCTCTACATGAAGAAAATGCACCTGTGTTTTGTGCATTTCGTCTAAATCCAAACATTTTAGTTGTTGCCAGACTCTGAGGTTGGACCACGACCAGCAACAGAAGCAGCAGCTGCTCACTTTGGTTTCCATCAGTTGCCTTTATGCTAACTGAATTAGAAAATTACAGAGCGACTGTCCGTTTAGTCTGGAGATTTGCAGGAAATGTCTCAGGCCCTTTAGAAAGGGATTGCACAAAATAACCAACAGGAAGCTGCACCAAATGTTTACCGAGTGTGTTTCACTGCCACCTTTGCAGGGTCTGCCAGGTAATAATGGACCACAGGGACAACAAGGACCCCCTGGACCCATTGTAAGTCTCTCCTGTTTGTTTATTTTCAGCATTATGTTTCATAGCCGATCACCATGACATGTGGACTGACTGATCTTTCTCCTTTCCATGACCTTTAAACTCTATTTGTCGCTTTCTATAATTGTCTGTCTTTCTCTCAGGGAGCACCTGGAGCACCTGGATCTCCAGGACTAGGTGGGCCAGCAGGACCCCAAGGGGATCAAGGGCTTCCAGTGAGTCAAACGGTTTCATTTCATTTTGATAAAATTGATGTGAAAAAATATCCGACTCTGAATTTGCAGGAGACACAAGAGTTCTGCAGTGAAATACATGCACCATTGTTTTTACTGCGTCGGCTGGGAAAATCATTTTGTTCAGAACACAACAGTTGTTGTTTTACTTGTGATGTGTTTGTTTAAATATTAATAACCTTGTGGCTTAGTGCTTTGCGAATTGTTTGTTTTTCTCCTCCTTGTCCTGTTCCATTCGCTGAGCTCCCTTTTCCGAACTGGGAGCAGCCTGTTAGTCTTGGAAACAGATCAAAATAATAACAGCCATTTGGTAATAAGTTGATGCTGCGAACATGGCTGATTTGCAAAGATTATCCAATAGACAAATGTACAGTTGTCTCATAAAGGGACTTTTTACAAAATAGAAAATATTTTAAAGATCAAAAATCTTATTTTTCATGTTTAGTCATGTTTAATGTTTAGATGTCAAGTGACACAACATAAGCAGAGAGGGAAAAGACAGACAGCTAGTCAGGTCTCAAGTCTCCAGGCCAGCAGCACAGTTCGGCTAGAGAGAGAGAGAGAGAGAGAGAGAGAGCTATAAATCACTTAACAACACACTCTCCAGTGGCACACACATACAAACAAATCCGTGAGAGATCACATCTGCCTCATCTGTGAGACGTGGTATGTACATGATTTTAACATCCAGCTTGTACACAGACAGACAATCTGGAGTCTAAATCTCTTCAACTAAAAGTTTTAGCTTGAAAATTCACCGATTCGGTCCCTGTTCTGCCCCCTTGCAACCCTTTGCCAGGTTGCTCCTGCAAAAGATTACTTTTCTTCTTAAACAAGTGGTTCTTATCTGAAAAAGTGGCCATTTAAATCAGCAGGGGCATTTTGCTTTATCTTTTTGCAGCTGACCTTAAGAAATCTCACAGAAGTTAGTGGTACCAGTTTGGCTGAAGTGGACACAGAATGCCACACATGAGTCAACATATGCTGAAGCACAGTGAATCTATAGGAATGAAGGGAAGATGGATAGTAAAGATGCAGAGTTTTACAAATTCATGACCCGATGTCCTCGTAGCTAACGTGAAACTCCATCTTTTCTGTCTTAGGAATGACATGAAGCATCTGGTGGTGATGTGCTTTATCTATCAAGAGCAATATTCATAAAATTTATAATATGGGACAGAACAAAACATGGTTTATTTGTAGTTTATTGCACAGGTTTTTGCAGACTGTAGGAGAATCTCTAGTCAACCGGTCCAAGTTGTTACATTCTTGACAAGTTTGAAAGGACAGGTGTTGCAGAAATGACAGCATAAGTCAAGCTTCTTTAGGCATTACACAGTTTAAACTGGCCTTGCTGGTTCATTGATGTACATTTTAGCCAGATCTCACCACAGTTGTTATGCTCGGCCTCGCAAGCCTCTCGCATTATCATAGTGCTTGGTTATCTCCGGTGTGTGTGTGTGTGTGTGTGTGTGTTTGACCTGGAGAAAATGCTGTTTGTTAATGTTGTTTCCAGTGACTTAACCACCTGAGGGTTTTTTAGATTTATCTTGGTAGCGAGCATCCTTGTGTTTGCCAGTTCACAAGAAAAAGCAGCAGTCTTGTTGTGACTGTTTTATCAGTCCACGTTCAAGTCCTGTGCAAGAGGAAATCATCATAAACATCTCTATGGGGATGGACTGCAAAACATTTTGAGTGAAAAAACATCTCTGTTCTTTGGACAGACTGTATATACAAGGCATTATGGGAAGGTAGTTTTGATTAAATAATGAAAACGATTTTTATGAGAGATACTCCAGTGTGACCGACTTTGGTTCCCACACAGTTTTATTTGGTTTTTTCCATGTCACCCTGATATGATGGTAGACATTTATGTTCCCAGGAAGAATCAGGAGCTCTGCACAGACACGAAAGGACATACATGAGAAGACTTTTATTGTGGAGACCTGCACTTGTCAAATGTTGGCACAGGCTTCCTATCATCTTCAATACAGTATGCCAGGGCTGCAGGGCTGCACACACACTTTGTCTATCTACCAACCCACACACACAGTAGTCAAGTCTGTTTCTCACAAGACAGACAAACCTTTATTCAAGAGCTGCAATATCTTCAAACTGATATTTGTCATATCAGCACATGGTTCTGTGGCCATGGAAGTTTGCATTTGGAATACATATGCTCCTAGGTTTTTTTTGTGCTCGACTTTGTGTGTGGTGTTATGAGATGTATCTGTGTGCTTTGCAGTGTTAGCAGTTGCAGAAATTGCCCTCTGTTTGGGGGCTTACACGTGTGTTGTCTTTAGGACACAAGGAGCCTGGACACATTTTGTCAGAATTTAAATTCATGTAGATATACCAACTGTTAGATCAGTGTAGAAAAAACTCTTGTGTTTGAGGAGGCATAAAGCAAAGGGTAAAGAGAGAGAGAGAATAATGGGGTGGAGAGATCAAACGAGAGGAATGGAGAGATGAGCAAGGCCATTTCTGAGTACACATCCCAGTCTAATGTTTATTCTCCTCCTGTGCTTTTACGTTCCAGGGTCCTGCTGGTACCAAAGGCGATAAGGGAGAAAGAGTAAGTCGCTCCACTCACACACTCCAACCACAGTTTAGAGAAAAGCAGGTTTTACTGCTCTATTGTGCTGTGAGAGTTAAGCTCTGACAATGTTTCACAGCTTTGTTGTGAAGAAACTACTCTCCAACACGCATTAGCGGGTTCTTGGTGGTTTTTTTTTTGCACGCATTCACTTTATTTCTCTTTGCACTACCTCAGACTCCTTCATAACAAACCAAATCAAATCAGTCAAATTTACAGCAGAGTAGGGTCTGTAGTTTTGCTGACACAGTGCTGAGGCCATCACTGCCAAGGGCTTGAGAGACATGCAGCTTGCCAAATTGAACTGAATCTGTAATTCCTGTTTCTGCTTCATTTTATCAACTGCTGTGGACATTTGTATCTTGTTGCAGTTTATTTTCAGTGCAAGGCCCAACATGACAGTCACTGAAAACAACACATAACAGGATTTTTCTCCTCTGTATTGTACATTTGTGTGGGGTGGCCCTGTTGCAAATAAAACTTTGGTAGAATCCTGTTATTAGTGTCTTGTAGTGTGTGTCTATCCTAAAACTCATTTCACAGGTACAGAATGACTCAATACAGTAATGATTAAACAGGAAGATATGTAAAAATTTACTCCAAGCCTGTTTTCCATTCTATATTTTTGTATAATACTGCATTAAATGTCACATCACACACAGTATTAAGATGATTGCCAGGTACTGAATATATAATAAACATTTGTTCAGCAGTCAAACCACTTTCTTTTATTTAAGCAGTTCTGCTTTTGGATATTTCCATATATACACTGATCATCTATAACATTATGACCACTGGCAGGTGAAGTGAATAACACTGACTATCTGTTACAGTGGCGCCTGTCAGTGTGTGGGGTATATTAGGCAGCAAGTGAACATTCAGTCCTCAAATAATGGGCAAGTGTAGGGATCTGAGTGACTTTGACAAGGTCCAAACTGTGATGGTGAGATGACTGGGTCAGAGCATCTCCCACACTGCAGGTCTCAGTGGGTGTTGTTGGTCTGCAGTGGTTAGTACCTACCAACAGTGTCTAAGGAAGGACAGATGGTGAACTGGAGACAGGGTCATGGACGCCCACGGCTCACTGATGATGAGGTTGATCTACTGTAGATTAAAGCTTTAAATTTCATTCTTCCTTTTCAAAAGATTCCAGTTAGTTTGAATCTTTGGGTGACTCAAATGGATTCACAGAAGATGCACAGTGAGCATCAGAGTGACATGAGTGGCAACCGCTGCAGTGATCAGAGTGACATGAGTGGCAACCGCTGCAGTGACTCCTGTGTGCACAGCATTCAGCAGGTGGTCATAATGCTGTGGTGGATTAGTATACATCTTACAAGTCTTAACTCATCAGAAATCAAGTCAGGTTGGAACAAATATGGGTTTAGTGCTAACTGAACAAAACAAAATCAGTATCTTTTCAGTGGAACATTAGCCTAAAAGGCCTCCAGTGCTTCTATAAGGTTGGGCAACTCGGCATATCCTGGGTTTTAGCCCCTAGTGTAGGTCAAGCTCCAGAAACGCTGGATCCTTCTCACAGTATAGGATCTTTGTTAGTTAGGAACCTGTTAATTAATGAACTCAGTTCCAGCATTTCTGATGCATTTTTCACACTGTATAAACTGCATTAAAAAAAAAAAAGAATTTAAATGTGTAATTATGTAACATACCAACATAGTAGCACAAACTCAATGAAAGTTTTACTAAAAGAATGTATTTTACATAACATTGATCTATATTTAATTGTACAATTTTCTGATTCTGTCTGTATTGCCCTTTAAAGTGTGCTATGTTTTTTGGGCTGTATAAATATAAGGGACATCAGAGTGTGGAATAAAGGAGCAGTACGCTCATTTAAACACACCAATTTATGATCTGCTGGTCTGGAGGTTTATGTTCCTGCGTTTACTCAGAAAACTGGTGTCAGTCTACAGTGTGGTTGTGTAATAGCACATCTTAAGAGCTGCGTTTGTTCTTCAGGGTGATGTCCAGTCTCAAGCTGCTGTGCGTGCCATCGCACGGCAAGTGTGTGAGCAGCTCATCCAGAGTGAGTAATCTGTGATATTTACACATTAACATGAGCACATACAGTTTTGTTAATTAAAATGTTTTTCCTGAACTCTACTGGCTTTACACCTTCTTTTCTCCTTGTTTCTATTCTCTTTGATTTGTGGTGAAACCCTATGAAAAAGAAACAACAACAAACAAAACGTCTCATTTTAAACTAGTCTTCTCCTCTGCCTCATGCAGGCCACTTGTCTCACTATAGCTCCATACTGAACCAGATCCCTGTTCAGGCAGCAGTGTCCGTCCAAGCAGTTCCTGGACCACCAGGGGAGCCAGGTAGGAGAGGCCCCCCTGGACCTCAGGGAGAGCAAGGTCCACCCGGAGGACCAGGCTTCCCCGGTGCCAACGGCCAGAATGGACGACCAGGAGAAAGAGGCAAGAGAGGAAAATGACTGAAGATGTGTTTATGAGTGAAGACGTGGCTGTTTACAGGATGGGACAGCAAATGTCAAGAGAAACTGACAAAGGAAAATACACTTAGCAATTTCCAAACACATATGTACTGTACTCTATATACAACTTATTCTCTCTGTAAGATACTGAGGGATCACTGTTTTTTACCTGCTGTATTTCCCCTAAAAGGTTGATATGATCACTGTGTAGCTAGTGCAAATTTTGCTATTACTACCCTTGTTGTAGAAATTCATGGAAACAAAGATACAGTGTGTTGAACATTGGTCATCTGAGCAGTCGGTTGGCCTCAGAGAGAGCTCAGAGTAAACATGATCAACAGTTGGTTTTCATGCTTCTCTCTGAGTTGGACACAAGATATAGCTATCTGGGTAGCAACAGCTAAGTGCATAGGATGATCACTCGATTATCAGGTCAGCCGGCAAGTTGACCCACACGTATATTCCCATAATGTAATGTCTACAGATATTCTTTTTGGGGGGCAGAAAACAAATCTCCACGTCTCCATTTGGAGCTTCGGCCTTTCAGCTTCTTTTCCTGGCGCCTCTGACTCATCAGACAAAACTCACTGTGAACATCAGAGCTCCCGTGAGGTTTAGTCCAGGCCAGAAGACGGTAACTCTCAATATCCATGAGGTCATTCCCCTTGGCCATGAGACCACAGAGGAGAAACAGCCTTTATGAGTCTCCGTCTTCATCAGTAAAACATGCAGCCCACACTAAAGAACCACATACCGAATGAGCTGCGCACACACAAAGCTAAGTAAACTGAGAGCAGCTGAATTGTCAGGAATGTCCAGCATGGTTATGTCCTCCTCCACAGTTCAGACATTTGATTTTTTTATTTTATATTTTATTTTTTTTACAGTGACATTTAC